GTTTTATTATCAGATTTAGACATTAACATTATATTTCAATAAATATAATCAAAACATAGCTTTGCCAGGGATTTTTTTAATTTTAGAGACAGGTTCTCTTACGTTGCCCAGGCTGGAGTGCAGTGATCAGAGCACATTGCAGCCTTGAACTCCTGGGCTCAAGTGATCCTACTGCCTCAGCTTCCCGAGTAGCTGGGACTACCGGTGTGTGCTCTGACCTCAGGACCTTTGCTTAGGTTGTTCCCTCAATAACCATCATTTCCTGCCTAAATCCTCTCTACCCTTCAACAACAACCCAAATGCTATCACTTCTATTGAGTTTTATTCTGATTCCCCTGACTGAATAGCATTTCTCCTTGGAATTTTTATGAAATATTGCTCAATAGACATTTGATTTTGTTTGTCTTTTATTATTATTTTTTTTTACAAACGATTGTGGAGAGCAGCCTCTGTGCCAGGTACTGACACAATACCACGCTGGCTGCAGTGGTGGACCAGGCAGTCATGGTCCTTTCCCATGGAGCTCACGACAGTGTGAGGAAAGAGACACAGAGCGGGGTCAGGAGAGGGGCAGGGGACAGAGGAGGAGCTGGCTCGGCGGGGCCTGACTTAATCTGGGAGGAGCCAAGAAACGTGTCCCTGAGGAAATTATGCTTGGGCAGTAAAGAGAGGGTGGGGGGAAACTGCAGGAAAGAGACGGCTTATTATTCTAGAAGGAACTATGGAAAGCCAACAGATCAGAGTGAGAAACTGAGGAGGAGGATGGCAGGAGAAGACTCCAGAGAGGTAGACAGAGCCGGATCGTGCAGGGCCTGGAAAGGCATGCCAAGGAGCTTGTCTCCCTTATATTTTCCGTACTTCATCTTTGATTATCCTAACTTCTGTTTTAAACTAATTTCTCCCAGTAGAATATTGGCTAGATAATTAAAAAGGAAATAAAAATGACTTGGGAAAATCAGCAAGTTATTTTTTACCCCCCAAAGAACGTTACGAAAGAGCTTAGAAAGAATAGACTTCCAAAGTTAAAATTGCACTTCATTTGTTGGCACGTTGACCACATCAACGTGACAAGCCCCAAGTTGCTGAGTCGTTAACCTGATCGTAACCACGACAGACCTTGGTCTTTACCCAAGTCCTCCAACTGATTGCGGTTTAACCACATTCGTAAAAGCAAATTCAATCTTATTTTTAGATTCTAGTCTTCCTCCTCCCACTCATCCTCCACAACATAGGTTGAATCAAGTAACATCCGTGCTTAAAAACCTTTAATGCTGTCCCATTTCACTTCCAGTAAAATCTGTCTCCTTATCACGGCCTTCAGAGCGAAGGGATTCCCTGAAGGTTTAGGTAGAGAGCTGGGGGAAGGTGGGTCTTGCACTCGGGACAGCCCGGTGCTCTTCAGGCTGTGCTCTGCACGCCTCTGGAGACACTCTTACCAGGCGCTGAGACAGAGTTGCCTCACTTTCTAGGGTTATTTAAATAATAACTATTATCATAGCACCACCTTAAGAATCTTTAGACTCAGAACTGGAAGAGTCGCTTACTCCAGGAAGCCTTCCTTGACTTCCCTGTCTCCTCTGGCTCCCACAGTACATGAAGATAACTCTCTTAGAGACCTTCCCACACCGCAGTGCAATTGCTCATGTACCTCACAGACTGTGAGCAACCTGAGGACAAGGTCTGGGCCTTATTTGCCTTGGTGTCCCCAGCTTCTAGCTCCGTTTCTTGCACATTGTAAAAGGTTTGCTGAACCAATGGAAAAAGAGACTAGAAATTAGTCCAGTTATCCCCAGTTTATAGATGATGAAAGTGGGGCTCAGATAGATGGGAAACAACTCACCAAAGGCGTCTTATCACTGACCAAGAACCTCACGTGTTCACTGAGGTACATACACTTTTCCATCTAGAGATGAGAAAATGGAGGCCCAGGGAGATAAAATGACATGTCAAAAATAACACAGAAGTCAGGATGAGAGGCAAAAGGCCGCAAGTTATATCCAGTCGATTAATTCAAAGTCACAAGAATCACCAGCATTGCTCTTTTAAGCCAGTCTCCTGCCACTACCTCCCTGGGCTGTTTGCATGTCATTGTCTCCCCAGCCCGTGACACACGGCCTGACACACTCTGGCCCCCACGTCTTAGGGATGAAAGCAATATGGCTACCTAAGGAATTCCAGCCAGATGCGCTATTTGCTCATGGCATTCGTTGGTGACTAAAACCATGCAAAATCTGACACGCTCCGTCCTCTTGCCACCCCCCTCAACCAGTCAGGGTCAGGACAAAGCATGAAATCCATCACAGCTGCGTCTGCAGCCCGGAATCTGAGAAAACCTAATGTGGCTCTTCTCTTACAGAAAGAGCCACTGGATGAGTCTGGATGGACGATTAAAAATGTCCTCTCTATGCCGATTGTGAACAAGAAGGAAGAAATTGTTGGGGTGGCCACGTTTTACAATCGCAAAGATGGGAAGCCCTTTGATGAAATGGATGAGACCCTCATGGAGGTATGGTTTCTAGGGGTCTTTTGCCGTTGGATTCAGAGTGAGTGAGCTTTCGTGGTGGGGCCCCGGTGTGCAATCGCGTGGGGGCACGGGAAGCTCACCTTTCTTTGCTCTCACTTCTGCACTGAACCCATGCGTTGTCAGAGAAATCCACATTCCCTTTTAAAAAATTTGAATCAATAAACTTTACTTTTTAGAGCAGTTTTAGATTCATAACAAAATTGAGCAGAAAGTACTGCGAGTTCCTAAATGTCCTGTCCCTACATATTCAAAACACGTTCCCTTTTTGTGAAGTTTTTTTTTTTGTTTGTTTGTTTGTTTTTTTTTTTTTGCCACAGATTCTCGCTCTGTCACCTGGGCTAGAGTATAGTGGTGTCATCAGGGCTCACGCAACCTCCAACTCCTAGGCTCAGGCGATGCTCCTGCCTCAGCCTCCGCAGCAGCTGGGACCACAGGCGTGCCACAACACCCAGCTAATTTTTCTATTTTTAGTAGAGATGGGGGTCTCACTCTTGCTCAGGCTGGTCTTGACCTCTTGAGCTCAAGCAATCCTCCTGCCTCGGCCTCCCAGAGTGCTAGGATTATAAGCGTGAGCTACCGCGTCCTGCCTTTGTAAAGTTCTTATGCCTAAGAATGATGCTTTATGTATGTTAGTGCTTTACTTAAAATGTGGTCATATCCATTACTTTACCTTATCCTTACAACACCTCTGGGAGGTGGGCCGCACTCAGCTTATAAACTCATTTTACAGCTGAGAAAACGGAGGTCTGGAGAGTCTTGCCCTAAGTTAATGAGTCAGGATCAAACCTGGGTGTTCTGTCTCTGATTCTTTCTTTCTTTCTTTTCAGTCTTTGACTCAGTTTCTGGGCTGGTCTGTCTTAAATCCCGACACCTATGAGTCAATGAACAGACTTGAAAATAGGAAGGATATTTTCCAAGACATAGTAAAATATCATGTGAAGTGTGACAATGAAGAAATTCAGGAAATCCTGGTATGTAATGTTCTTTACTTTGTTCTACTCTAGCAGAGTCTGTGTCTCAGAGATGTGGCCAGATTAAGGTGAGACTTGAAGCTCCACCAGGGCACAGCCTGGGTGTGGGTTTGTTCGTGGTTAGATCCCTCCTGCCTAGCACAGGGATAGATGCGCAGCCCCCAAAGCTGAATGAATGGAAGAATGGACGGATGAGTGCCGGAGAGTGGCATAATGACTGCTCTGGGTGGCCTGGGGGCAGAGCTCTCCCTTGCAAGGAAACCTCAGTCTTGGGGCCAGACGTTGGCTTGACAGCTCTAGAAACTCCTTTTTTTGAGACAGAGTTTTACTCTGTCCCCCCAGCTAGTGTGCAATGGCATCATCATAGCTCACTGCAACCTCAGAGTCCTGGGCTCAAGCGACACTCCCTCCTCAGCCTCCCAGAGTACTAGGATTACAGGCGTGAGCCACCGCGCCCGGCCTAGAAGGTCCATTTTCACTGTGCCCCAGGCTGACCTAGTGCTAGAGACAGGGTCAACCAGCCATACCGCTACCCTGAGAGGAAGCTTTGTCTGACAGACCAGTGGACAATGATCAGTTTCCCAGAGCCTCCTCCTGTGGGATCAGCTCACTTAGAAGACGCTATCAAATCACAGCAGCGTTTGGTGAGCAAAGAAGAAATTCAGAGGGAGTAGGGGGCCCTCGCATGGTTTCATCACTTACGTAATTTATAAGGCAAATTCACCCTTACAATCTTGTTTGATGCTTACACGCACTAGCCCAGTAAGATGGGCAGGATCAGGATTTCTCTTCTCAGTGTGAGATGAGGAAATAGAGGCCTAGAAGGGGTAAGTAACTTGTTCTCAATCATCCAGGTAGGAATAGGTCTCACTTAACCTTTATCAGGATAATGAACAAGTTCTCAGCCCAGGAGTTGGAGGTTGCAGTGAGCTACGATGATGCCACTGCACTCCAGCCAGGGCAACAGAGCAAGACTTTGTCTCAAAAAAAAAAAAAAAGTCCTCTACGTTCTTAGGAATGGGCTGCCTAGAAGATGGTGAGCATCCCATCATGAGAGGTATCCAAGCAGAGGCTGGATGATCATATATCAGAGATGCTATAGAGGAGAATCCTACCTCAAGTGGGAAACTGGACTAGGTGATTTCAAAGACAAAGCATCTCCTTCAATGATTCATTATTCCTGGGGCTTTGGTCTCAAAGAGATCAAGGTTTTAGAAGTGCACCGAGTTAGCCGAATGGCACTGGATGTGCCGCTCTGCTGAGCTCCCACGACCTTGGCTTATGGGCGTCACAGGTTGGAACAGCACGGACCATTTCTTAAGCTGAGAAGATACCACAAAAAATGTGATCACTTCATCCCAATAAGTGGCAAATTCAGAGGAGAAAACATACAGTTTGAATGAACTGCCTCCCAGTTTGCGTGACTCTGTCCATAATTTCAGCCAAATGGTGCATATGTGGAACCTATGGAGGCACAGCCTCCGCGAACCAGTTAAAAGTTAACAGATTTTGCTCTAAGTCCAAAAATCACAAAGAGGTAACTGGGTCTAGGTTCCTCCTCCTCTGGCACATGGGAAAATAGGCCCAGAGAGGGCAGAAACTTGCCTCAAGTCACACAATAAATGAGAGGAAGAACCAGGACCCTGGCCAATGCCGCCGCACTCCCAGTCTGTAATAACAACAGTATAACTATGAATAACAACATGATTTTATTTTAGTGTTTATTATGTGCCAAGCACCATGCTAAGTGCTTTACATACATTATTTAATTTGTTTGTAAATATGTGGCTTAAAAATAACTTTGCACGATAGAATTTTAATTCCTCAGTTAAGTACTTTTATTATCCCTATTTTACGGATAAGAAAATTGAGGATTAGAGGCATAAAATAATACCTCTAGTAAATGGCAGAGCTCAATTTTGGATACAGGGCTCTGTGGCTCTGAAGCCCATGACTGTATTTTTGGCTTTGGTGTTTGAGACAGAGTCTTGCTCTGTCGCCCAGGCTAGAGTGCAGTGGCACCATCACAGCTCACTGTAATCTCCAACTCATGAGCTCAAGGGATCCTCCCACCTCAGCTTCCCAAGTAGCTAGGACTAAAAAGGCCTGTGTCCTGGTGTGTTTTTGTTTGTTTGGTTGGCTTGTTCGTTGGGATTTTTTTTTGGTGGAGAGGAGGTCTCACCAGGTTTCCCAGGCCAGTCTTGAAATCCTGGCCTCAATCAATCCTCCCACCTTGGCCTCCCAAAGTGCTGGGATTACCCACATGAGCCACCACGCCCCGCCCCAAAGCCGGTGACTGACTTTGCACATCGATCAATGTTAAAGGGCCACTTCTCTGAGTTGGTGGTTCTGTTGCTAGGACTTTGGAGGAAGGAGAAAATGGGAATGGAAAAGTGGAGGCATGTTGAGGCCTTGGATGCAGTAACGTTTTTTTTTTTTTCCCTCTGCTATTTTGGGCCCCAACAGAAAACCAGAGAGGTGTATGGGAAGGAGCCATGGGAATGTGAGGAAGAGGAGCTGGCTGAGATCCTGGTGAGTTGAACCGGAGCAACTCTGGCCCTGATGTATGACAAGTGCAGGGAGTGTGGGCATCGCTTCGCAAAGCCTGTTCCCCACCACTCTGCTCTGATCCTCCCAGCACACCCGGGATAGGGACTGGGCTGGGAGGCCCAGAACACTTCATGTTCCCTGATCACTTGACTCCGTTCCTTATACAGCAAGCAGAGCTGCCAGACACAGAGAAATATGAAATTAATAAATTCCACTTCAGCGACTTGCCCCTAACAGAGCTGGACCTGGTGAAATGTGGAATACAGATGTATTATGATCTCAAAGTGGTGGATAAATTTCACATTCCGCAAGAGGTGAGGTCAAAACAAACATCTGGGGTTTCCTTTTTTCTTTTTCTTTCTTTCCTTTATTATTTTTTTTTAAACTCAATCTATAAAGTACCTTAAAAAGAGTGTACCCTCGGTGTTTAGGATTTAAAGCATTAGTCATGTTGCACAGATGAGTCATTTATCAGAAAAGAGGCACACTGTTCCTGTGAAATGTGACGTTTTGGGTGCACTGGCTTCTTGCAGTGTGTTCCGAGGCATTAAGCTCTGAAGGCCATGAATAGATGTGCTGCAAAAACAGGTCCTAGAGGCAAACAAGGGCGGGCAGTGCGGGCTAAACTAATTGAAACAGGGCTCTTTCCCTTGAGGATTCTTTACGAAGGGGCACTGTGAATCTAGGGGAATGAGGCATGGACAGAAGTGTCTGCTGGGAGGAGGGTGGTGGTATATGGAGCACAGAATTCTCCAGACTTGGAGTAAAGCAGTGGTTCTCAAAGTGTTGCCCCAGACTACATGGGCATCACCTAAGAACTCATCAGAAATGTAAATTTTCTTCTCTCTCTCTCTCTCACACACACACACACACACACACACACACACACACACACACACACACTCTCTCTCTCTCTCTCTAACACTCCCAGCTCTAACGAATCAGAAACTTTGTGTTTTAACAAGCCCTCGAAGTGATTTTGATGCACACTCAAGTTTGAGAACCACTGGATTAAAGAACCATTTTGTTTTCCTCCCCTATAAAGCCCCTGTTAGCTTGTCCCAGGACACTAGCTCTCTGGGGCACAGTTTGGAATCACTGATGGAGCTCAATCAGTAGAATGACTCACATCCACCTTATTTTCAAACAACAACAGCCATGTTCATAGTATTTAGCGGTCTGCAAAACACTTTCACTGCATTATTGCAGGTATTGCTAGTTCCTACCTTCTGGTCCAACGACAGGGTTGGAGGACCTCGGGTCGCAGGAGGGAGGGCCCGGGGCACCTGGCTGAGTGCGTGCGGCTGCCTCACTGATGCGCATGTGTTCACAGGCCCTGGTGCGGTTCATGTACTCCTTGAGTAAGGGCTACCGCAAGATCACCTACCATAACTGGCGACACGGCTTCAACGTGGGACAGACCATGTTCTCCTTGCTGGTGGTACGGTGGGGCTGGGGGCAGGACAGGTGGGGCTGTGCCACACAGGACAACCTCTTGGAGGCTTCACGTGGCAGCAACAGCAGTGTTCTTCTTCCTCTGTTGATTGCCTTTTAAGAAATATGCAAAAGTAGTACATGCTTAGAATAAAAGAATTCCAAGAATAGAGAAGCATATAGAATAAAAAGTGAAAGAAAGTTGCTACCTACCCCCAACCTCAGTCTGGTTGTTTGGAGGTAACCATGGCACAATGCTTTCCAAATTTTCTTCTTGGAGCTGTGAAAAGAAAAACTTTAGAAAACTGTGAAAAACTTTAGACAAATTAAATTGAGTAGCGTTCATTGAGCAAAGAAACAATTCATGAACCAGGCAGCACGCTGAGCCACACTAAAGGTTCAGAGAGCTCCACACCGCAATGTGGGCAGGCAGTGTTTACAGACAGAAAAAGGAAGTGACATACGGAAACAGTTCGATTGGTTACGATTTGATGTTTGCCTTATTTGGTCATGTCTGAGCAGTTTGCAGCCTGTGATTGGCTGAAAGCTCAACTGCTATGATTGGCCAAGACTTGATTATTCGTTATAAGAATATACCCTCAGGGTGCAATTTCTTTACATATTGAGTTAGGCTACAGGTTGATGTGTGTGGAAGCAGCTTTAGGCCAAATTTAATTTAATTTAACAATTCCCCCCTCCATCAGCCTCTGAATTGTGAGAGATTGACCAAAACCTTGGACACTAACGCCACTTTCTGTCACCATCATAATGGACTTTTTGGTATCAGTACAGAATTCACAATTCACAATGTCAAATTAATTGGATTATTCTTTATGCTTTCTTCATGGTTTTGTTATTTTCACCGTAACGAGACCATTTGATATACAAAGGACGGCTGCATGGAAGCATCTGAGATTCCTGAGGGGCTACGACACATCGGGGAGATTATTAGAATGTCTATCAGGAGGATAACGCCAAGCAGCTGAATTACACTCCTTAGCAGGACTCCCAAATCAAACAATTCGAAGTTCAGGCAATAAAGATCCAGTATACAGATAATTCAACAGTTCGACAGTGCAATTGGTCATAGTCTTTGTTCAGGGCATGGTGGTGATTAAGGTTCACTATAAAATAGCCTGATATAAAGAGGTATCCATTTCTATAGTTAGCCTGGCAACACAAGTCATAGTAATCTGGAGATCCGCTTAAAAAACATAAAAATGAGAAAACCTTGGAATAGAAAAGCTTGCGATTCACCATTCAGGATGCCTACGAACCATAAATGTATCATGTGTTCCTTTCCCCTGAGAAATTTCCTTAAATGTGGCAGTACAGCCATATCAGGCACATTTTTTTTAAAGATACGGGGTCTCGCTCTGTTGCCCAGGCTGGAGTGCAGTATGGTGGCACGGTCATAGCTCACTGTTACCTTGCACTCCTGGGCTCAAGTGATCCTCCTACCTCAGCCTCCTGAGTAGCTGGGACTACAGGTGAGTACCACCAAGCCTGGCTAATTTTTAAATTTTTTGTAAAGATGGGATTTCACTATGCTGCCCAGGCTGATCTCAAATTCCTGGATTCAAGCAATCCTCCCATCCTGGCCTCCCGAAGTGCTGGGATTATAAGTGTGAGCCACCACATCTGCCTCTCAGCCACTTTTTTATAATAATTAAGCTTTCTATAGTACTAAATCAGGGACAAGATAAGTGCAATATTCAGTTTTGTTCAGCACCATACACAAGCCCCTAATATGGGCAGATCTAAAGCTGCATGAAATTCCATCAAGTGTTTTTGTTGAATACGAATGTTCTCATCCACCTTTTGGAAAGTAGCTTCTACCTGTCTGAACACTGATTTCCCCCCAACTTATGGATTAGCTTCACATTTCATATAACTGGCACCCCACTACTGCTAAGAGTGAGGCCCCAGGAACCCCACTCAACCTTTCCTTGGTGGAAACTAATTATCTTCATCTATTTTGATTTTGGTACTAATTTTGGTTATTGACTGCTTTGGCCTCTGATTGTGGGAGGAATTCTTTTTTTTTAATGGTTGCTTTTTTTTTTTTTTTTTGGTGGGAGGTATTATGGGAACTTTCAGGGAAAGCTATTTGGCTTCAGAGGGCGGATGGGATTGGCACGGTCAGGGCGGGGCGGCCGCAGGGGGCAAGCTATTTGGAAGGCAGGAGTGAGCCAGGCCAAATAGCAAGATCCAAACCAGCAAGGAGGCAGAACGGAGTAAGCAATTGTGTGCAGACCCAATATAGGTTCTTGGGGACTGGAAAAGAGGACCACCTAGTGGTGTTTGAGCAGAGGTCAGTTTTTTGTCCACCCAAAGTCTGCAAAGGTCCTGAATAAGGTCCAATGAGAAACTTACTTTTTTTTTTAATAGTCCCTTCATAGCATGTTGTAAGGTTGCATAACCACATTTAGTGGAAAGGGACCTAACTGGATTTAATCCAGTGACATCATACAAGCAATTACTCACACCCACATAGGTAGTCCCAAGGTCTTCAGTACATGATACCCGAAAGCACAATATACCTTTTGCAGGCATCAGTATACCCTTTGCAAATCTTTTGCAGGTTTTCTATATTTGATAGTGATTAGGTTATTCATTGGAAAGGTCAGAGTGCTATTTCTTTCATGATGCAGAGAAGTCTTGATCTGCAATCTTGGGAAAACTTCACATTTACAGATACTATTTGCTTCTGGGGAAGAACTTCCCTGGTCAGCTTTACCTTAAGGTCTCCAACAGGTATACAAGGAGTCTGGAGACGCCTTTTTCAGAGATGTGGATCCAAGGCTCTAGGACTTAAAATTTTGCTGCAGAGAACAACTTGTTATGGCCCCTTCCAATGGAGTTCAAGGATAGTCTTTCTCTGGTGTCATTTCCAAAAGGCTCAATCTCTGGATTCCAGATCATGTAAGTCTGGTTGTCATCAGTTGGTGGATCACAAAGGGCTTCTTTTACCTAGTGAAAATATGCTTTGACATAAGGCACTAAAGCCCTGCACTGTTGAGCCATGTCAGGGTTTATGAGTGGGAGATACACAAGGTTCTGTTGTTAGGGGCATAGGCCTTTTAGTGACTATTTCATAAGCGGTCAATCTGTGTTTTCCAGTAGGAATGGATCTGATTCTCATCAATCAGTAATACCTTCGACCAAAGCAATTCAATCCATTCAGTTAGCTTTGCTAAATGCCACTGTGTTTATATCTAACTATTAATATTTTATAACTTGTCTAGTGAAATAAGTATCTCTATCTCTGGAGATTTCTCTAGGAATGCTCCACAAGGGAAAAACATTTTCTAATAGCTTTTTACCTATTGTTATAGCATTGGCCTTCCTGCATGGGAAAGCTTCTATACAACCGTAAAACAGGCATTGAAAGTGGTAGTTAAGTGAAATCACCTGTAAGTGTTCAAATGCTCCAGCAGGTGCTGGAAATGTATCACCTGGGATTTTTATTGTCTTATTGAAATTACGAATTTGACAAACCCAACATTTCTTATAAACTATTTTAGCAATTTTTAAAGCAGTCACCCTACCAATATTTTTTCATACTTTGAATCATTTTATCTTTTCCATGATGAGTCATGGAATGCAGGGCTTTTAATAATGAAAGCTTTAAGAACTAGGAAGGACCAGGCAGCTGTCTGGGCTCTCCATGAATCCAACATTGGACTTACATCTTCTTAAATATCAATTTTGTTTCTCCAATTCAGATGCATG